CCACGGTGACACGACACTTCTTGAATTGATGCGTCGTTGATGCTGCTACTGCGCCGGTGTCTCCAGACACTTATAACTTGTTGATGTTTTCCTGACCAATGTCTTCCTCTGAAGATATAGTCCGAAACTGATGATGCTGGCTTGATCAGCATCCATCCGCTCCTGTTGATACTTGCGAGTTTGTGATAGCAATCCACTATCCGCAAGTGTAATAACCCTCTTAACCGTTGCGTTTCACTGAGATATCCGGCTCGAAGGACCAAAATGAATGCACTTCTCTGAACTCAATTGTGGTATAAATAAACGACAAGTGGTAATTAGGTTTTTATTGGGTTTTTTTTTTTATACATAATATACAAACTGCCTAATCGTTGCTATAGACAATATTGATTGCGTGTTTTAGATGTCAACTAGCGACATCTAGTTACAATGTTACAAACAAACTTATTCACTAACACAAACAAAGCATAAAAGATGTATTTACATACAAATAAATTTTTTGTCAAGCGTTTAAAATTACGTATGTATCTTTCTAAAAAATAAATTTAAAAAAAAAAGGGTCTTTTTTTCCCCCCAAAACCCCAAAAAAAAAAAAATTTTGGGGAAACCCCCCCCCCCGGGGGGTTTTTTTGGGGGGGGGGGCCCCCCCCCACCCCCCCCCTTCCCCCAAAAACCCCTTTTTCCCCCCCCCCTTTTTTTTTTTTTTTTTTTTTTATTTATAATAAAAAAATTTTTATAAATAAGAAAAAAACCGACCGAGTACTTTGTTCAACTTTACAAGACCAGCTCTCAACGAGTATTCTTTTCTTTTAAATATTTGATAAAATAAAAAATATCATTTCGTATCGGCCTACAAATATACGAGATTAAATCTAAAAGTTTCTTGAGTTATATTTAAAGTACCATTTAAGTTCAAGTTACGTCGTTATTCAGGCGATTAACGATATTCAAACAAACCCGTCTACATTCCACTTTTATCAAACCCCCGCAAACCCCCGCCGAAGTTAAAACTCTTTTGTTACATATATCGAAATGTAATCCCTACATAATGGAGGCGCTTTGTCGAACAGTATTATGGACTTTTATCTAGAAACCCTTTTATTGAAAAGTGATTCATACCCGTGAATTAATACTAACATCGAACATATTGAAAATCTCTCAAATAACTGATTTGCATTGTATGACTTAAACAATGTCAATCTTTTCATACTATTTAATAATGCAATACTTAATTGGATTTAGTTGCTTTTCCTATCTATTTCTTTGTTTATAATATTAGCATTCGATAATTAATGGACCATAAACCTTCGAACTACCTTGTCGCCTGTCAACGACGACGAAGGTCGTCCGGAGTGGGCAGACAACTGACATTGTAGACATGCTTTTAGAGAAACATAATTTCGGCACCAACTGTCTTTATGCATCAGTCACTTGTCCAAATAAATAATGAAAAGAGAATTAATATCGTTTAAGGGTGGCAAACTGTTTAGGGCATTAAGTGTAGAAAAAGTATATAGTAAATGTTTTTTCTCCGGAATTAGTTTAATCATATTAATTCGTTGTATTATAAAAAAAATATTTTAACGGCTCATTGTACTGGTGGTATCCAATGTGTGGCGAATGACTATCTTGGATTTCAAAATGTTTATAAATATTAATTATACAGGGAATTTTACTCTCAATTTAGCAATGCTGTGATATTTCACATTCCATGAACTTCTTCATCTTTGTTGTAAAAATATAGCATTTTTTGTCTATAACAAAAGTCTAGTTACTCTTGCAGTGCCTGAAATAAAGGACAACTTCATCAAAAATATGCTTCCACCAAATAAAAATCTAAAGGAACACCTTTTCCACTTACATTGTGAGAGATGAAACCACTTTTTTCGTCTCAACGATAAATATATAAAGCGTGTTTGTGCCCCGAAGGCATCGTTTGCAGACATCGATATATTCAACGCATGTATTCCAACTTGAGTGCCGAGAATTTACTGACTCTTTCGCGATATATCAGAATGTGTGACATGACCATGTATGTTAAATCTTGTTTTCCCTTGAGTGTACGGGGCAAACGGACACACATGTGTCCACATGTGAGCCCGTTTCACTGATGGATGATATTTATTTTTTTTGTGCTGATTATAATTTAGTTTATCTTAGGAATTATTTATTCGACAAACTTAAGTATTCATTCAATCTGAGCTTAATGAAGTATCGTGAAATGAAATTTTTGGTACTTAGAAATGTAATATTATAGTTAGAAGATTCTTTCCTTTTACCTCAAAATATCGTTTTATTTTTTACAGACTTTGTACAAGAAGTGATTTACTGAGGCACGTTAAAGTAGCAAAAATCTTTCTAGAACAACATTGTATATTTTGCCGAGTAATGTGTTGTAATTTATCAGAGGGGTATCTCAAACATTTCTCCAAAAATCTCTCGTGCTTTTGAATTTTTGTTCATTTGATTAATGAGGTTAAGTATAAGGGATTTAGAGGCAGTATAAAATCGTCTCTTGTATTTAAGAATCCTAAACGAAGTAATTATTAAATAATAAAGACAAATAAAAGACTGCTGAAAATAAGATACAATTTAAAAATCTTTATACACACGACGAGGCACTGTCGGCTATTTACTGATTAAAATATGAATAGTGTCACTTAATGTTCACAAAGTAAATTTTCAATGTTGCTATTATTAAACATAACGAACAAAAAAATTGGAGAAATCTTAAAACATATAAATTTTACGTAGGGATGAAATTTTCAAATATTTGAGTTTACGCAATGAATAAAACGAATAACAAAATGCATCGTACATTTATTATATTCGTACTGTTTACAGACGAACTTACATCGACATTGATTTACATAAATATTATTTTACTACATGCTGTATAATTTTGATCTATAAAAATACTACCGAGTGCTACGTACATGTTCCCGAATCAAGATCGTTTATTTTATACAAATACTTTTCTAATAATGTATCCATTAATACTTTTTGTAAAAGATTTGATACCACAAGATACGTCTAGATAAATATGATATGACCTTAGATAATACCTACAGACAAGACTTCTGCGGCGCGTAGATACGCCGCGTAGAGTGCTACGAGCGTAGGCGCCTACGAGTCGTAGCTAAATATGTTACGTAGTAAAATGCTTAACTACACCGATCACTAAGTAATTTAATATTTCTTTTTAAATATGATATTTTTTACGATTTCTAAGAGGAAAGTGCTAAAAATAATATTAATATACTTTACAAATATTAATAGTAATTTTATAAATATCAATTCTAATAGCATTGCAATAATGTACAAATTTATACTTTTTACAAAATAAAGCACCTTAAAAAATAAATTCATTGATAAAATTGGTTCTATTTATAGGATTTCTTAAGCTATAAGCATTGAGTAAATTGGTCTGTTTGGGACGATTGAAGGACGTGATTTAGCTTTTCGTGTTCATAATGCGACGAAGAATTAAACGGTCTTGGACACAAATGTTGCAAGTACAATACAGATTACATTAAAACAGGCTAAAGAGTTATTTCTTATCATACTCACCATCTGAGTAAAGTGTTTTTTATAAGTTATATTAACTCTATTGATAATTTTCTTTACTTTCTCACGACAAAGTTGACTATCATATTGACTTGACGATGTACGGATGTTCTATTTTTGTTTTTTAGATACGAATACTACTCTTTTAAAATAGTTTAATTGAGCTATAAAAATGAGTTTAAATAATTTCTGCAGCAGCAGTTTGAAGCTGATTGGGCGAAATATATAGGAACCCTGTTTTGAATCATTCTCAAATATATAAATGTGCAGTATCAGAAAGTGTATAAATATGTGAATTTTACTATTGATAATTTATATGAAAATGTAAGCTAATTCGAAAAATTCAATATTAAAGCCAAGTCCGTGCATTATAATATGTAGCGATTTAGAAGACTACTAGGATTTTAGAAATCTTGTTGCTTTTATAAAGTTTCTTACTGAACTATTTGAATTAGGACTAGAATTAATTACAATGTTTTATACGATACGGCGTAGGTATATTGTGGGCCTTTATCTAATTAAATGTAATATTTACAATGTATCCATTTTTATTTAAACAAAAGTTATATTACACTTATTTACTTTTCTAATATTATGTTACTTATAGTTTCGTTGTTTTTGCCGAAGAAAAGATTTACAGTGAATAAACATTTCGAAAGACTTTAACAATTATAACATTTACAAATCTCCTTGGTCATATTTTACCATCGTGAATGGGTAATAGTTCTTTTTTTCGCTGTTCGATTTACATTAAGCAAAGAGTTTCTTCAAAAACCATACCTTAATAATCCTAGCCGAGCGGCTGACAAGCCCAACAAGTAGTTTTGTAAAATGGCCGCGACGCGCCAAGACTCGCGTATGAGTTTTGACTTTTTAAATAAATTTATTGGCCTTCAACTGACATAAAATACAATTATCGTAAAATCTAAAAGTACCATAGTGACTTATATAGTAAAAAAGTAATAATACGTTATCGTGATAATTAATATCTTGTTTCGTTCTTATAAAACGCGCAGCTGTTGTCTTACACAAAAATTATTATTAGGTAATTATGATTAATCTACGCTACCCACTCGTCTTACTCTTATGATACTCCTTAATGAGAATTCTCGTGAATAACGCACGCAATTAGTTGTCTCTTTAGGCAGTAAGATTAAAAAAAACCGAATACATATATTGAAATATTGGATTTCAATTTGATGCTTTCAGATTCAGCTTAGACGTTTGTTACCATTATCATTACATTTTTCTTATGTTTCTGCAGTGGTGATTAAAAATTATACTTATGTAGCCACACCAGTATAAATATTTGACTAACAATTTTGTCCTCGTTTTTCGCTGCAGACGCGCGTCAGTAACTTGTTTCAGAAGTAATATATCTTGTCCGAAGTCTCGAAGTGCACGTGCTTGGAAGGCAGCACGGCCCTGAACCATCAAGCCGGGCCCTTGGGGCTCCTCGCGTCTTCGTCACTAGGTTCGTTGATCTCCGGTATCTTCGGCTTGTCACCGTCGGCTTGAGTGAGCACTTCTTGCACGTGGATGGTCAGCTCGGGGCGGACGACTTGGGTAAAGGGCAGCAGTGCGCCGGCAACGTCCATGGTGTTGTTAATGTTCCTGTGCCACAACTCGAGCACGACGCTGCGCCGTTGCTACTTGTAACGCGGGGGTCCTAGCCACCCGCAACCGAAGACCTGACGGCAAATTTGACGTTTTGACACAGATGACATCTACAATTGCTTAATGTACATTTAGTGGGGGCACCGGATAAGCATTTTCTTATGCACATGAAACAGGCGAAAAGTAACTATTGGCTCAACTCCCCCCTCCCACTCTCGCTCTCAAAATCACGACAACAATGTCAAATGTGACAATAACAGTATTAAATTAAATACTGTCTATAGTTTACGCGAGTAGTGCACATTTAAATAAAACACTTTAACTGTTTATAACGCGATATATTAGTTTAGAACTGATTTTGATACTGATTTCATAATAAAAAAGTAAGCATACCCCATATCTATATATATCAGTAATATGTTTATTTTCATGCGTTATTAAACAAAAAATGTACATAACAAATACAAAGCGCTGCACTTACACACTACTTGGTGCTCAAGAGTATTTACTTTTTATATTTGAATATAATATGAAGCTTTAAATCTGCATCAACGCCAGGGTCTAACCTCAAATTTGATAGTTTAATTCCTCTATTTCTCGAAAATATACCGACATAGTTTAGTTTCTTATAATCGGTGATTGCTATAACAAAAGTTACCTGACAGATAACTAGAGATAGTAGTAGTAGTGACATCAGGGCTAGAACTCCCCACACCACCCCGAGTTGAGTTAGTGAGAAGACGTATAGCGTACGGTGGCACCATTGGTTGGGCTCGAAGAGACTCGGCGCGTAGTCCGGCCACATTATGCCCAGGGTCCAGTAGTTGCCGAATGCAAACCTAAAATGGTTCAAATATTAGAAAACCCTTACCTCCTACGAGAAGAGACTTCAGCATTACAAACTACTTTCTCTAAAACAGCGTCGAGATCTAGTTGATGGTTTGTTTCTATCACAATTATTTAATAACAACATAGATATCATCGACCTAATCAACCGCTTAAATCTTTCTGTTCCCCGTGCAAGCAGTCACATTCACAATGCAACCAATTTCGATCAACACTCCCCTTTGTAAAAAAAAAACAAAATTAATTTATTCATGTATACCTACATTGTTTATTACACTTATGAACGTCAAAACAGGTGAAAATTTAAAAATCTAAATTTACAGTTACTACCAGTTCCCAAGTTAGGGCGTAGAACGAACGACAAGAACTGGCAAGAAACTCGCCGCCGCTCCTTTTAATTGCCAAGTTTTTATTATATTTCCTTATATTCCTTACGCACTCATTGTGTACATTTCTTCCTTGATAGAGGGTTCCTCCATAGCCCAAGCATTTTTATCATTTAAATATTCATTTACGTTATAATAATCGTATGGGCAATCTATTTAACAATCACTCTTCAGACCTGGATATTTTTTATCACCGACAATTACTAAGTTTTCTTTGAGAGCACAATTATAATATTAAATTTTTATTTTCCGTTTTGTTATTTGTATAAAACCATTTATACCATAAAGGTATATTAAAGCTTAGTTTTATAGACCTTTTAAATATATATATATATATTAGTTGTAAACCGTTAGTGTTTTATTTAAATGTGTACTACTCGCGTAAACTACAGACGATATTTAAAAATTTTATTTCATAAAATTGTTGTTTGATATTTTGTAATGCTCGTCGTTAACTCTTTTCTTTTAATAATTCCTGAAACAGAAATTATAGTACCTTTTTTTTATTTTAACCTTAATGGTAATATAATCTGTCAGAATATACATAATATATGTATCATTCGTACCATTCGCAAGTATAAACCAATAGTCGATAATCGCTCGCTTGTGACGTAAATGGTACTTCAAAACGACTATTGTGACGTTTTTAGACAACTGTTTAATAATAGCGTTAGGGATTAATAGCTAACTGAAAAAAGGCCTATATGTATAATGCCCTCTAAAAGCATTATCTTCCTTTGGCAATCGGATAACAAAAAGAAACACTTGAAACCGTTCGTTATAAAAGCCGAGCTCGCTATGTAAATCGCTGACAATAGAGAGTCCAATAAGCACCCCCCACGCCCCTTCGCCCCTCGGGAAATGTCCCAATTAGCGACACAAGAACATCGTTTGACGAAAAAATGAGGGCGAGCACAAGTGTGTTTCGTTGTTATGTCACGAGGATATTCGTAATGCTATTCTTTAAGTGTTTTATAATTAATGCACCTGACACATCTTTAAAGCGAAAAGTGAAGCTCTATGCTCTTTTCTAGACAAAAATATCTCTAACTAAACAAACAAACCATACAAATTTAACTTCGCGATCTAATTTCGTTGCCCTAAAAATTGTATAGTGGAATACAAACAGCGGATATTCAACAAACGTTGGAAAGTTGAAACAAATTTAATTATAACAACTGAAAGGCGAATAATATTAACTGTAACGACTTGAAACGAGCTTCGGTACTTAATGAAATTAATGTTATTTTATTTTGGCTTCTCGTAAATCTAGCATTTTATATAGTTTACTAACGATTGTACGAGTGGTTTTATTAAAGCATAATATTACAGTAATGCACGTTTCTGAAAAAAATGTCTCCTTTGAAACCGTTTCTTTGTAAAATTTACTACTCGCGTAAGCTGCAGGTAAAAAACGAAAACACACCATCCCATAAGAAATACTGTAAGGGTGGAGGCTAGTATTTTTTCCGGCACACTGGCTGAGGAGTTGGACGTTCTACTCGCCAGCTGTGCCCAGAGCAGCCAACAGATTCCAGCGCCCCCCGCGGCGCCTCCCACCACCATGTAGACTGGCAGACGAGGTTCCGCTGGGCAATCGCGAATGTATTGTACACCTAAAAAATAATACAAATAGAAAATCTACATTTGAATAAATGTAAAACGCTTCTTCTACAAATGACGTTAGAGTCATTGATTGAGATTTATTAAATTGTAAATTGCTTTAAAAGTCTCATTAAGTTGTTTGCCTAGAATTATTAATCATATTACATTCTGTGCATATAGCCTTTCTTGCTTTTGTCGTCTAAAATAATTTTAAGACTTTTTAAGCAATCTAATTCAATTGTTTGTTTACATTACAATTTGCCCAACCTAATGAGCTTGTCCACTTGCACATATAAATTTAATTCCACAGTACTGAATACTGCAAACTGTATAATATAATCCCATAGTTTTGACTTACACTTTCACGGACAAGGCCTTAAGCGTACTCGTATAAGAAAGAACAATGGCCCAATGGAGGGTTAACAAATATTTAAACTAAATATGTCTAACAACATATGCAATAACAATTATTGGCATGTTTTTTATATATCAATCAGTAGCGCGCCGAAGACAAATCGATCCTTTACACGCATAAGCAAGATACATTTCCTTGCTCATCTTATAAAAAGCAAAAAAAACATGAATAAATATAATATAAATAATCATTGTATAGTAGAGGTTGCTAATACCTTTATCTAATGATAAAGCGAACCCTAACGGTAAGTTCTGAACAAAGAGATTAAAATATGTTATATTCGGAATAAAAAAGAAAGAAAATCATATCTTTTGTGGATTTAATATGAATTATTATTAATATTTCATCCAATAGAAAAAATAACGAATTTTTTATAAATAACACATAGGTTTTTTGATTATTATATTTTTAATCGGTAGTCGAAGAACTCATGTCGAAATGACACACTTAACATAACTGTTCAAAACATGAGGCGAATAATAAAACACGAACCTCGCGTCGGTGCGAGGTATTAATTTGAATGGAGCCAAGCTCACTATGCATATTCATAGGCGTCCGATATTCACCTGTGGGTGTTCGTATTAATATTTATTGTGCTCGTCAATCGCATTCAAGAATACCAATATTCAATCAGCCCATGGCTTTGTTCCTGGGCCGGAGCGTGTATCTGGGTTTTGTACGTAAAAACGAAATAAACATTCAAATCTTGCACATTGATGTGTAACTTATACGTGTATGTAGTAATTTACTAATACTGCACATTATATAACAAAAAATACAACTACACTGTTTCGGGTTCTCTTCATAGTTTTTGTTTAATATTTATAAATACGATAATAAAAAATGCGGGTTTATTTGTCCGTAAAATAATTTGTTGTTGGGAATGATCTTATTTCTTTAAACTTCTTAATTTTACTTTAATTTAAAAAAAAACAGCGGTTAAACACTATGCTTATTATTTTCCTCTTATTCATGATTTCAATGCTTATCACAAATTGAATTTGTATGGAAATGAAATTAGCTTTACGAGTGATGCGACGAAGATAATGTTATTTCCATAATAGACTCGGCCGAGTAGTGTAATTAATGAACGTATTACAAAGTAGAGGAAACAACAGCTGTACTATATTCACTTAATATTTTGTTACATACAAGATTAGTGCAATTAGTTGTGACCAAACGATACACTAAGATTATTCCGCGGCTCGGTCGACCTTTATGACCTCTTTACCCGCATTATGACTCACCCATTATCATCATGATGACAGGAAGAGTCGATAAGATGGCCAAGAATACAGTCATTACAACTGAAACAATATTTTTCTTATTATATTATGCACTGGCTTTTTACTAAACTGTATAATATTAAAAATATTCATCAGTTTCAAAGATCTATTAAGGACGATTCCGAAGACATTGTATTGTTAGCAGTTTAATAATTCTTACTGGTTCTATTCATAATTTTGGCAGCTCGACAGACGAAATCCACTGTTCCGCTAGCTTCCATGTTTGCGTCTTTTAATTGATACGCCACCGAGCCATACGTGGTCAGTCCCACGCCCAGTCCCAGACCACTGCGATCGTTAAATTTCGTCTGTTCGCCGCACAATCGACGCTGTTCATCGCCCGATACCTGGGAAGAACGTCTACACTACTTCACCATTTTCAGTTATAAACACAACGCTCACTTAGGAGTGGTAGAAGGCCGACAATACTCACTTGGCTAACGGAACTAGACGCTCTTCGTGACCCCGTGTCTGACAGAGCAGTGCCCTGTCGTCCCCCTAGAGATGCTCTATAGGGAGACACGCGACCTCTTGCACCTGTTAAAAATAAATTGTCACCCTTTTGTAATAAGCAATTGCTGTAAATTAAATCTTAGAACTTACTGGCTGTTTGGCTTTCATCACTAGCTCTTCTTTCTCTTGAAACCAGCGGCTCTTGAAATGTTAACGTTAAACTACCGCGGGGACTTATCCTAGAAGAATCTATCTCTCCAGTGACAAGACTCCCCCTGCCACTTCTCTCAGACGGTGCGATACTCCCTCTTGGACTCTTTTGAGAATCGGGAACCAAGGATCCTCTTGGAGTTTTGTTTAATTCGGCGAAATCTTTCTTTAACACGTCCGGTGCCATGCTACCGCGCGGACTGGTACGTGGACTTGGACCCAATTCTTTCTGGTTTCTAGCGGGATCGATCTGTATACTCGCAACGGAATGTCTAGGACTTCTCCCGACGTCTGGCACTAAAGAGTTTCGCGGCTGAGCCCACGAGGTCCCTTCCGGTACCAAACTTCGACGTGGAGTCCTGGCAGACGCGTCCGGCGTGATACTGTTTCGTGGGGAGCGGTTGAAGTCCTGAGGGTTTAAACTAAGACGGGATCCATAAGCTTGTTCAACGCCGAGGTTATTCCTGGAAGGTGTAAGGGTGTTTCTAACTAAAGGTGTATCTGGTGTAATCGAATTTCTAGCGGACCGTGTCTCCGGAACGAGTGAATGGCGGGGGTTTCTCGGGTAATCCAACGCTGCTTCTGGGGCCAGACTCGCTCTGGGACTTCGTTGCGGCGGTGGTTCCAGTTCATCATCTGTCTCAGTCGTTGCGAGGGAGGCTCGTCTAGATGTTTGGGCTGAAGGTCGGGGAGACCTGGTTTGTGGCGAAGTTGCAGCACTTCTTGACGCCCTGCGGCGTCGAGATGATGATGTCCTGTGCAGCATTATTGTGGTTTTATGCTGCTGGTTTTTGGTGCATTGTGTTCGTGTTTTTCGTGTTAACCATCTGTAACAAGTGCATTCTATATAAATAGATTTAGGAGATGTTACGTTGCCTAAAGAAAACAAGTATTGAAATTCCAATTGAGGTTCCAATCTTAATTCATAATTTTAAATTTATTTTACAGCTTCTATGCTAAGTTGTCTGAGTCCTCGATTCAAAGTTCTTGAGCCAGAAGCGACCAATAAATCCAAATTATATTTGAATGGCGTCGAAGTAATCACACAAATTTGCGACAGAGTCTCAACATCACGGCGATCATGTTTCAAACTTCAAACCAGAGAAATTGTTTTTATTATAATACGAAACGTGGTCTGAATTTTAATGCGAACTCTACCTTTAATAATAGCATAATAATTGAGGGTAAATTTGATATAAATTTAGGCTTCTCTTACGATGCAAGATAAAATACAGAATTGTTGTTACGGTTCAATTAATTAAAGTAGGTTGACGATTGAATGCGGAAATCATATTTAATTACGGGACTCTGATTCGCAATATCGCTAGTGAGCGTAATTATAAATTGCTAAACCCGTATCTTTAATGAAAACGCCATTTGTGTTATGTTAGAGCAGTTAAAATATTTGACTTTCATGAATGGGTTTTAACACTGTCAAGTGTTTAGTTTTATCGATATGAATGATTAAAGAACATATTGAATGACATACTTTTTGTGTTAAATACTTTCTCGCCTTACTTTATAAACGAAAAAAGGATTAGAAGCAAATCTTTATTTTTAAAAATGACCTAAAATTTGCTACAGTCTTCTTTTAAAGGCTATAATTTATATAATAGGATTTTGTGTTATTTTTTCATCGTTTCAAGAGTACTTAGGTGGCTGAAAAGGAAAATTACACGAAAAAGCATTTCAATTAATCTCTTCTCGACAAAAAACAGTTCCTTAATTTAATATCCCAGCTATAAATCCACGTTAGCCGTGTCGCGACTCATTTTTCACGACACTCGCTAAATTGAATCGCTCAGTGTCTTGGCGAGAGATTGTTATGTAAATTATTTTAATGAAAACCAAGTTAAAATTGACGTAAAATGATCCATACGGTTAGAAAGTTTTCTCTTTCAATAAATTATATTCTGTCTTTTTTAATAATAATTTTGGACAGTAATACGAAAGTGTAAATTAAATATGTGACTCGGTAGCACAATTGGTTAGAGCGAAATCTCGAAACGCTGATTATGACGGTTCAAGTCCTTTCAGAATCGTATTTTTTAAAATTTGTAATCGATTTTTAATTTATATAGTGTCATCATATGCAACAACATGTAACATATATTAAAGTTTTCAAATACATATACAAGTATATCGCGCGGTCTCAGATTATATACTCTCCACGGTGGACAACTCATATTTCTTCGAGCAATCGAGGAGTTAACATCTCCTGATGATGCCGTGCACCCGTGACGGCGAAGCGTCGAGAACCCCTTGTCGCTCACGTCGGCCGAACAGCCCGAAAGACAATGATATGGTGAACAATGGCCGTGAAAGCCTTACACAATTTACATATACAAGTGTTTATATAATATTGATATTCTTTGTTGTTTAACTACTAGATCATTAATCATATGTTAGTTAATGTGTAACTTCAGTTCCATATAATGATGTCTTGCTGTATCTAGTAAATTAATTTTATGTTTAAGAAAACGAAAGGCTCGTAAAATTGTCAAGACTTTCGCGTAAGCGTTACTTTATAATTAATTGGAGTGACTAAATAATGACTAACACCCCGCCTGAGATATTAAGGGCATAATGAACTCGATTATAACGTTCACTCTTCACATTTGAACGTCGGAAAAGATACACAGCATTTAAACCTTTATTACGTTGCTTTAGAGTTTATTACCGTGATAGTAAATTAAAACTGTTAAGATGTAGCAAATTATACTGGATAGTAATTAAATATTTCGCGTCGCGATTTATTATGTTCCTCATGATGTAACGTTGTAACGCGTGACAGGATGCAAGTGTAATATTTATTTTCTCATTAGAACTTTAATATCCAAGCGCTTGTAAAACAATTATATAACACTTTCGTTAGTTGAACCGAATAATTATGATTACGTTTGTTTCAATTAATGAATTAGTTAATACATTTAGGTCACTGAATTTTCAGGAAAACCTTATTCTGTTATATTAATTTTGTTTATGGACTACAGCATGCATTTAAACCTCGCTAGTAACAATTTTGGTGCCAAACCATTTCGAACTAGGGACTAACTACAAAATTAACTCTGAATTTCCACCTAAACACATTTACAAGGCAGTAGACAAATAACAATTTTAGCTAGCTTATTACGCGAAATATGCCCATCCTATTATAATAACCAAACCGAAAATGCTTCTTAAAGTTTGCGAGAGTTCTATTGTAAAGTTCAGATTTCCGTTCCAAGCTTGCCCGTATTCAATTAATATAAAACACTTGGAGCGCCGAAAATAAACGGCTTAAGTTTTTAAAGGCTCTCGGAAAGCGTTCTCGTGTTTCGACCATTAAATTGAGCTTCACTTAATACGCGAAAACACCATTTATTTATATTACTCGGAGATAAATGAGCAGATGGGCCTCGGCTGAGATAAGCCTGGTTCTACGGAATTCTTCACACTACGAGTAGAGGCGCCTTTATTAAATTAGGTACAGCCTGCTACCTGTTCGCTGTATCTAATTTTGTCAAGACAACGAAAACCAGCCAAATTAGAGTTATTAATCTATTATGTTCTTCAATATTGAAACGAAGCACTTTTATCGGTTTAAAACTAAGCATATAATAGTAAACTCATTAGCCATGGTCCCACCATGATTACAGGTGCTGCAGAGCGCCCATATTCCCGGATCGTAGGTAAAATAAAATAAAACTAAGGTAACTAATCGAGCGTTTTAAATCGTTAACATTAAAATAGAACATTATTCTAATGTTCACTACTCACGTAAACTAAGGACAATAATTTCTACTATATTTGATATTAGAGTGACAACAAAACTACATCATTTGTTTATATTACAACCGTCGAAATTCTATGGTTTCAAATCGTAATTATTGCAGCCATTATTGCTGTCCATACTTTTCTACGGAGACTACGTATAGCCGGGCAAGCCGTAACAAGTCGAGTGAAGCTGAATCGCAGACATAAGTTAAACACTTTGCCCCTTTTGTGTGGGTAATTTATTATTTAAATGGATGAGGGTCTAATGAAATAACCTAAGATCACTTTATCTATTCCGATTTCTCAATTTATTCGTACGAAATTGAATTATAAAACAAAATCCGTGAAGTTTTCGAACTTCTGATAGAACTTTTGGGTTGGTAGCGATCTAATCGATATTAATTCCACTGATTACTTACTCCACCTTTTGGAGATAGTTTTAATTGTCTCCTGACACTGATTTTAAATTTAATGCCAATAAAGTTCATATTGACTAAAGTTTGGTAGAAAACGGATTCTATACGAGTCCGTTTTTAAAGTCTTTCGAATTTGCACATCTTTTTTGTTAAGTTAACACATATGTTAACATAATCGAAATAAAAATAATAAAATCGACTTATAAAAATTAATTAGAAAGCCTACTAGTTTATATCCTTCTTTAATTTGAGTTAGAATAGCGTTTGAATAGAATTTTAATCTTAGCAAATTTTTTGCTAAGATTAAGTTTTAGTTTATCAAAGGCTTTTTGCTTTTCATTGTAACGTAATTTTAAAAATAAAACTATTGCAAATACTTTTGCAATTATTGGAGATTTTCCATCGCCTTCAGCTTCAGCTTTATCATTAATTATGATTAATGATAAAGTCTTCGTACGAACAAGTAAAGTCACTGTACGAGCGTCGATGTTGACAACGTACTTTCTTACACCCTTAATTAAACTGTGTATTGACAGTGTTTAATGTACCTCGATAGAATACATTGAGAAGCCGCCATATGAGGTTGCTAGAGGTAGAGTGGCCTAATAACAAAAGAGATTATCAATAAGGAGGAAAATAAAAATGGGCAATTTAACTTAAGCCAAAATTGATTTGCACTATTATGTGTTAAAATTGTGTTAACAATTTTCAATCACTGTGTTCTTATTCTAAAATTGCAGTTAGGTTACTCTGCCTCTAGCGGCCTCATAGGTTTCAATGTAAGTACCAATGAGACATTTAACAAAGCAGTTAATCATAAAAAGTCCTTGAAACTCTATACTTCATTAATTAACAGATTCATGTCAAAAGCTGGTCCAATAACAGGCGGAAAGCAAACACTGAATGATTCATCGTGAGCCATTAGACATCCTATATCTCCTCAATTAGTGCTTGTCGATATATCGTTAGCTGTGAAACCTACCTGCAAGTAATTTTATAGGCGAGAGAAGAATATACATTACGGACTAATGAAGGGTGTACTTCCGAAAAGCGCATACCGCCGATCGATCTGAAATTTGGTATACTTATGTATTTTGACCTCCTAATCACGAATACCATAACGAAAATTGGCGCAAACGCCGTTTTGATTTTCTTTCCCCCCCCCCCCCCCCCCCCCCCCCCTCCTTCTCTTCTCCCTCCCTTTTTCTTCCCCCCTCCCCCCCTCCCTACCCCCCCCCCCCTTTTCTCTCCCCCTTTCTCCTTCCCCCCCCCCCCCCCCCCCTCTTCCCCCCCCCCCTCCTTTCCCTCTCTTCTCCCCTTTCCCCCCTTCCCTATCTACCCTCTTCCCCCCCCTCCCCCCCCTCCCCACCCCCCCCCCCCCCTCCTTCCTTTCCCCCCCACCCCACACCCCCCTCCCCCCACCCCTCACCCCCCCCCCCCCCCCCCACACCACCCCACCCACCCCCTTTCCCCTCCCCCCCCACCCCCCCCCCCCCCCCAACCTCCCCCCCCCCCCCCCCCCCCCCCCCCCCCCCAACCCACCCCCCCACACCCCCCCCCCCAAACCCCCCCCACCCTCCTAACCCAAACCCAA